AACTTACTCTCGAACTGTCGACCCTGGTCGCTGTGAAATTGATACGGGATTCCAATTCGTAAGAATACATCCTCAACTAACAATTTCGCTATAGTTGAAGTTTCCATATTGGACATGGGAAAGGCATCTGTCTACTTTGTAAAGTAATCACTTACTACTAAAATGTAGCAATTTCCAGATGAAGTAGGTGGATCTATTCTACCCATGATATCAACTGCCATTCTTTCCAACGGTGCTCCGACTCCATATGAACTTAGTTCAGCATGTTTTTTACTTCCTTTCCTGCTCCCACAGATCTAACAATCAGCAACATATTTCTTTATATATGCATTCATTCCAGGCCAGTTGTATCTCACTTTTAACCTTGATATAGTTTTACGCACACCTAAATGACCTCCGGTTGGTGCATCATGTGCAAGTCGCATTGCTTCTTTGATTTCAGTTTTGGGAACAATTACTTGAAGCGTTGAATTTTTGGCATCCACCGTTTGTCGATATAATACTCCATCTTGTATAACAAGATTTTTCCACTGCGACCACAATTCGATTCAGGAGATACTTCCTTCCACTCGGGTCTTCGTTTTGAATCGAGCCAGCTTTGGAGTTTTGTCAGCATCTTGTCGTTCTTGCAAGTATGACAAATTATCTAGTGTTATCGATCGAAGACGACTTTCATTTTCTCTTTGCTCGTTTCTTCCACATTGGACACAGGGATTTCTGGAAAGCCCGTCCGATTTCCTGTGAACAAGGCCAGGACGATGTTGTACTGTGAAATCATACCCAGCCAATATCTCTAGCCATCTTGCGACCTGTCCTTCCGGATTTCTAAAATTCATTAACCATGTCAAGGCTCCGTGGTCAGTTCTTACCAGAAATGGTCTGCCATATAGGTATGGTCTGAAATATTTGATCATCTTCACGACTGCTAGCAATTCCTTCCTTGTTACACAATATTTCCTTTCAGCATTCGACAAACTCTTACTAGCATAAGCTATCACTCGCTCTTGTTTGTCAAAAACTTGAGAGAGTACACCTCCAATACCATAGCCACTAGCATCGGTGTCCAGAATAAATGCTGTAGAAGGGTCAGGATAAGCCAATATCGGAGCAGTCACAAGTTTTGTTTTAAGTGAATTAAATGCATCTTCTTGGTCTGCTTCCCAGTGAAATGGTTGGTCTTTACGAGTAAGTTTGTTTAAAGGTGAAGCTACTTTGGAGAATTGATGAATAAATCTTCTGTAATAAGAACACAACCAAGGAAACTTTTTAGTTCGTGAAGATCTTTTGGTCTCTTACAATTTTTTACCACTTCTATTTTTGCAGGATCTGTTGAAATTCCATTTTCAGAAACTATGTGGCCTAAATATTGAACCTCCTTCTGGAATAGGAAACATTTCTTTGCCCTCAGTTTCAAACCAGCGGTTCTTAACCTACTAAAAACTTGTATTAAATCAGCTAAATGCTTATCGAAGGTTTTTGACGTCGTCCAAATATATAAGGCATATCTCCCACTGCGATCCAGCCAATACCCGTTCCATCAATCTTTCAAATGTGAATGGGGCATTACTAAGTCCGAATGGCATAACTTTGAACTGATATAATCCTTGATAGGTAGTAAATGCTGTTTTAGCTATATCCTCCGGATCCATAGCCACCTGCCAATATCCAGCAGCCAAGTCAAGTGTGGAAAACCAGGATACTCCATGCAACGCATCTAACGTTTCATCAATGCGGGGAAGAGGATATGCGTCTTTCACCGTCACATTGTTCAACTTTTTGTAGTCTATACAGAACCGGGTAGTACCATCTTTCTTGCGAACTAACACTATTGGACTGCACGATTCTTCGATGACATTCTGTTCCAACATCTTTTTAAGTGCATCTTCGACTTCCTTTTTCTGATGAAGAAGCACACGCCTTTGTCTTTGCTTAATAGGTAGTGCAGAACCACAATTGATCTTATGCATCACTTCATTTGTCCTGCCTAATTCGAAGTCATCTTTGGCAAACGATGATTCATTATCTACCATGAACTGTTTTAATTTTTGGACTTGGTTTTGGTCCAGTTTTGTCTTTGACCTTTGAAACAGATCATGAAGATGGTCAGGTAACTTTTGCTTTTGCAACTGCTTTGTGGTCTTATCTTTTATAATCTGGTCAATCATACTAAGCTTTCCTATATTACTCGATTTGAATATAGTGACTGGCTCAGTAGACACGTTCATTATTCTTACAGGAACGGTCGAAGAGTTATGTGGTACAACTGCCAAACTATGTGCACTAGTCCATCCTTTGCAATAAGATGAGGGTGTGGCTCGATCAAAGCTGTACCTCCATGTACACTGTTTTGCACCTCCTCGTGGATTCTGCCAGGAATTATAATCTCCACACCAGCTGGGATGGTGATATTTCTTATAGACGTTAGACAGCAAAGTTTCAAACCTTCCTCCATATGAAGATCCAACTTCTTACCACATAGTTCCATTTCTTTTGTTGACATGTCAAGCTTCCAATTGTGCTTTTTAAGGAAATCCAGGCCCAATATACATTGTGAACCTATATCAGCAATTACAACTTGGTGGTTGCAGATAACATCATCTATGATAATGTTCAGATTGGTTGCTCCTTTAATGTCGAGTTTCCTCCCATCTGCTTGACACAAATCATGGGCCAATTTCCATAAACGAGGCTTGTGTTGAAGTTTATCAAACACGTCCATTGATATCAATGTTAAACTTGCCCCAGTGTCGATAAGACAGTAGCTCTGTATATCTTCTACGCAGGCCAAAACGTGGAGTCCACATTCATTAGGTGAGGTGAAATGTTTACCCACGGGAGATTGAGAATGGTTGTTTTGTGTCATGTTTCGAACTCCGTCAGGCTTCTTTCTATCTGCTCCCATTTTTACTCTGCAGTTGTTACTAGTATGACCACCCTTTTTGCATCTATAACACACAACATTGGCCTTTTTCTGTTTCTCCTCCATTTTTTCTTCAACTGTAATGTCTTCATTCCGTCAGGTAAACCTGCTATTTGTTTCATCAATTTTTCAACTGTATGACCATCATCGGTTTTTGGCTCTGTCAGCGTTCTAGTGTATTTTTGTCGAGGCCTTTTTGTTTCGTTAGATACACGAAATGACTCTAGTTCTATGGCAACATGTGTTGCTTCTTCAAGGTTGGATGGTCGAGTTTGTTGGATTTTCCACACCATATCCATATCGTCTTGGAGGGCGTCCAAAAATGCATCTTTAGCCAAAACATCCTGGAGACTTTGTTCAGCAGTTGGATAGGCCAATACCACCATCCGCTTCACAGCTTGTCCCAACTCAGTAAGTTTTTCCTTCGGATTCCGCCTACGGTTCTTCAACTCACTTCTATACAATTCCGTTTGATTTTTTGGCTGGAACCGTCGTTCCAAAGCATCCATCAGGGAATCGGTCCTTCTGGTCTGTCGAATAAGGGGGTGTGTCATTAACAAATCAATAAACTGCCTCTCCGACAAGTAGTTTGGTGAGATTTCTTTATCAAATACAATTTGATTGTTGAATATCCCACCTCTGCCACCAAAATCTGTAACGCACCAGTAAAGGGATAGGAAGAGAAATGTTCTACTTATCTAAAACTCTGGGCGTCAGGGAGTAGTACTTCTTGCCAAAACCCAATTCTTTGGAACACTAGTCCAATTTGAATTGGCACCGCAATATGATAGAGTTAAAGTGGGCACGTTACCAGCTTAAAAGTGGTATATTTGTGACAATCCTCCAATACAGCAACACCGGAACAGGAACCTCAAGATGCGATGTAAAAACACACTAATTCAACAAAATCAGGTTTATTTACAGCATTTAAATATCTAATTATATATTATGCTTAAAAGAAATACCACATTGACGTACAATATTGTGCCGAAATAAGTCGGTCTTGGTATAGAGATCAACCAAGTTGCCCTCTACTCAGCCTTAGTGTGAAGACAATATATTCACGTGCCACGACTGAGAGGGGTAATCGTTATGTTACCGGAGTGCTGCCGTTATGAGAGTCAAGTCTATTGTTGCGTCCTAGACGTCGTAGGATATTGTTCCCTCAATCAACAGAGTAGAAAATACACTATAAAGAATATTGAATCAAAATATAAATGGTTTGTACAACAGAGGTAGACATTATTTTAAAAAATAAAACAAAGTACAAACATCCTACAACAATTTTAAAGGTCATCAAACATATGAATACACATTTAGAAAATAATAATTTTACATCAGATGCTTAATTAGCCTAATTATAAAATATATATCTAAGTCTGGCAGATTACAAATAATACGTATGGAAAACGACAAAGTAGTCGAGATTATATGAGTACCATAACGGAAGTTGTTTACAACTATTAATAGACAATTATAAGTATTTTAAATCATCGATAGAAAATGTTTAAAAAGCATGACACGGCAAACGATTCATGGTAACGGCTAAAACTATCGTTTAACTTTACAAGAAATAGTATTATCGTTAAATTAAGTGTTAATTTACCTGAGTTTGTGTAATTTTACTGCTGTCAAATCTTTGCGTGAAATTCGATATGAGTTTAGACTTGATCTGCCAGACGCACAAAAGAGTAAAAAAAAAAATGACTAGCTACAGACTACTACTATTTTCTTCTACATTAGAAAATTTATAAATATAAAATATATAATATATAAGATATAACTGGACACAGGGTGATGTTAGAAAATATATAAAGATAGAACTGGACACAGAGTGATGTTAGAAAATTTATAAAGATATAACTGGACACAGATTGATGTTAGAAAATATATAAAGATATAACAGGACACAGGTTGATGTTAGAAAATATATAAAGATAGAACTGGACACAGAGTGATGTTAGAAAATTTATAAAGATATAACTGGACACAGATTGATGTTAGAAAATATATAAAGATATAACTGGAGACAGATTGATGTTAGAAAATATATAAAGATATAACTGGACACAGAGTGATGTTAGAAAATATATAAAGATATAACTGGATACAGATTGATGTTAGAAAATTTATAAAGATATAACTGGATACAGATTGATGTTAGAAAATATATAAAGATATAACTGGATACAGATTGATGTTAGAAAATTTATAAAGATATAACTGGACACAGATTGAAGTTAGAAAATATATAAAGATATATCTGGACACAGATTGATGTTAGAAAATATATAAAGATATATCTGGACACAGATTGATGTTAGAAAATTTATAAAGATATAACTGGACACTGTAGCCTTGTTGTATGTTGCCTGGACTGGAGACAAAGATGTCACCGCTAATGCTATTACCTCCTGGGGTCGTAATGGAACAAAAGGGTATAGTAGCATTTACTATACTCTAGAATTATCTGGACAGGTCTATTGTTACCTATAAGTACTTACTATAAGATTAACATCTTGGGTATTGTTAATTGAGTACTTGGTAACAATAGAAAATAGACTAGTGTCTCCAGATGTCGGCCCAATTTGGAGGGAAATTTAAATTATTTTCTTTGTTCAGAGCGACACCTATCGGAGGATATATATAGGGCGAAAAGATATTTTGCCGAACTCTCGATTTGGCAAGGAAGGAGGAAGGACATAGGATTCATTCGTTAGCAAGGGTTAGGATCGATCACGTCGTGCTAAGAGGAAGAAGATCTCGGGTGGATTCTTCAGATTTAGTGTAGACCTCTTGTTAGTTTGAATATAGTGTAAATAAAACGTTGTTAATATCTTAGCTGTTATCTCATTGAGAAAGTAAATTCATATCCGATAGAAGTCCGTATCCAGTCTCTTACCAACGACTATACAGATGGTAAGAATAATCTACTTTGCAGTTTGTAAGTAGAACCCAACAAACAAGCCTGCCAACAAGCAGCTTGTCTATAACACAGAGTGCTGTAGAAAACTTATATCTGGACACAGAGTGATGTTAGAAAATTTATAAAGATATACCTGGACCCAGATTGATGTTAGAAAATATATAAAGATATAACTGGACACAGAGTGATGTTAGAAAATTTATAAAGATATAACTGGAAACAGGGTGATGTTAGATAATTATAGGGTGATGTTAGAAAATTTATAAAGATATCTCTAAACACTTGTTATTAGTCTTGTCCTCACTGAGAAAGTGATGAAACCGGGTCAAATATAATTTGTATACCAAACAATGTTGTTGTTTTCAGAGAGCTGATATAGATGGAATTTAAACAAGGTCAAGTGTTCCTAGATTTAGTTGGTTTGAGAAATAAATGTATAAGCAGACGTGATAAATTATTACTAAATATAGATTTATGTGATTTATAGTTATTTATAACCATATAACTCGCAAAACCAGTTTTATATCAATTCTCGTGGCCCGACTCTCAATGTCTAGAGGATTCGAACCAACAGCACCAAATTATCAAACAACGAACATACGATTTCATTGACATTTTGAAAACTTATACAACTTTCCAGTCTCGTTTGCATATTTTTTACAAACGTTTAGGTCAGCGAGGATTATAATTTATCTCACTATATGATAGTGTTTTAAGAAGGGTAGAAAAACATCTTAGAAAGGCTATTGGAACTCTAATATTACGAGAACTAAAATAAACTGTTAATTTCTTAGTTATATAATCAGTAATATAATAATAAAATGATAATACCTGATAAAAGATGTCTTTATATTTTACTTAGCTCCAATAAGGCGACTTTTAGATTAAACTATTAGTATCGTAAGACGATCACGTGACCGGGTTGAAAAGAGGGTTATGTCTTTTTATTGCATACATGTGTAGTCTTGTTATACCAATACAAAGAAAATCAGGCCCATGTAATAATTGAATTCATATCACACATACGTTGAATACGGCCAAACTACATTTTTCGACTCTACTCGACTCGAATGATTGAGTCGCCATTTTTGTTGAGAATGAATTACCATTAAATCATATTTTGAAACCCGTCCAAAAACCCATGAGCTATAATTTCCATAAGCAATACCGTTATTACCTTTTTGGACAACAAATCAAGTAAGGTATTCAAGTTGACAGTGTAGGCTAAAGGGAACCTCCTATGACGTCATCTTATGTTCGTAAACAGCATATTCTAGGAGGAATTCCACAGCGAAGTACACAACGTAGGTCAAATAAGGTCAAACGCACACCAGTGGTATCACTACGCCAAGCTCCGAGTGAAATATTGAAAATCTATAGACATTTTAGTGCTGTTCTACCATTATATGAACTGGATGATACATGCGAAATTATTTACCACGTCAAATGAGGGTAATAAATGATTAGGGCGGTTGAAAAGAAACCAGTTATTATTGACAAGCAAGGCACTGGTACAGGGTTTAAATGTGATTTCATGTTGATATAAAATGAATTAAAATCAAAGAAGAAAATCATATTATAGTTGTCATGTAAATGATTATACTTGGACTTTAATAGATGATAATTTACTAATTGGCGCTAATAATGATAATAAGTCAGGAATTTTAACAAATCTTGAATATCTGTCTTTAGTATTTTTTCTTCTATGTTGCTTGAATCATCTCAAATATTTGTTTCACAATATACACTTCAATTGTGATGATTATAATTTATATATAATGGCGACCATTTCGCAGGTGGTTTTAATTGGTATTTGAGTGTTTCAAAATCTCTGAAGAAATATTTTGGTGGGTTTCTTATGTCTCAAAATATGTATTTATATACTGTAAGTGTGTATTGTAATTTTATGTGTATCGGGGACACTTTTAACTTCTTTTTGTGACATTCCATTCTTCGCATTTGGTTCCTGCAATTCCAGAAAGAGTTAACCGGAAATGACGCAGCTCCCACAAGAGAATTCGTAACCAACCTACCACTAGACCACAATAACATAATAATATATTTTGTTATCTTCCTTCACAAAATGGCGGCATTTCTAACTAAACATTGCCAACACATTCACATTTTACTTCACCGTTGCTTTATAAACATCTTAACTACATCTTATATTACTTAGTTTTAACGGAATGGAAGAGCTGTATGGTATTTGTGCAAATCAGAGCGCAAAATATCTTTATTTATGATAATATGGCCGGTTCTGAATACAGTGAGCCGGTCGCTTCTTCTGCCTCTACGTCCACTAAGGGTCTTTAAGCTTTGGGAGAAAACCAACCCGATATTTATTATTAAAAATCTTTCTTTGATTTAAAGCTTTATAATTAAATAACGAATCCATTTAAACGGTATGACCCAATTTGATTGGATAACAGCGGCCACATACATTCGGTATATATCTGTGTAAGCAGAATGTAAATATAAGCTCCGCCCACTTGTTACCTTTCAACCACCCTAACCTGTTATCTAGCCAATGCCTTCTGTTATATAGTAACTTGTTACCTTTCAACCACCCTAACCTGTCATCTAGCTAGTGCCTACCGTTATATAGTAACTTGTTACCTTTCAACCACCCTAACCTGTTATCTAGCCAATGCCTTCTGTTATATAGTAACTTGTTACCTTTCAACCATCCTAACCTGTTATCTAGCTAGTGCCTTCTGTTATATAGTAACTTGTTACCTTTCAACCATCCTAACCTGTTATCTAGCTAGTGCCTTCTGTTATCTAGTAACTTGTTACCTTTCAACCATCCTAACCTGTTATCTAGCCAATGCCTTCTGTTATATAGTAACTTGTTACCTTTCAACCATCCTAACCTGTTATCTAGCTAGTGCCTTCTGTTATATAGTAACTTGTTACCTTTCAACCACCCTAACCTGTTATCTAGCTAGTGCCTTCTGTTATATAGTAACTTGTTACCTTTCAACCACCCTATCCTGTTATCTAGCTAGTGCCCTCTGTTATATAGTAACTTGTTACCTTTCAACCACCCTAACCTGTTATCTAGCCGATATGAAATTTAGTTTCCATGTAAATGGTTGTGGTTCCCGATAGAAAATATTACGTAATTCCAAATTCAGGATAATGTTTAAATGACCAGCTGGATGGTAGAGGAAAGGTGAATGGGAGCAATATGGAAGACCAATCAGCTCAAAAATCAGTATAAAAAATGTAACATTTGTTCTCCAATATCTAAATTAGTTTACATCTAGATAGAAAAATCAACTTTTGTAGTACGAATTCAACATTTTGTCTATTTCAAAATGTCATCAATATTAACCACATTTTCTGTAATACATAACATAACAGTAAATTTCTATTAACAATTATGTAGTAACAAATTTCAACATATAAATCTAGCTCAACAAATCTGCAAATAAAAATCCCCAGAAACAAATCTTCATTTTTCGCCTAATTCAAGTCTACAACTTTCTAACAGCACCATTATGACGTTAGGCGGCGCTGTTGACTGCTTCAAAATAAGAAACAGACTATAGCCAAGTGTTGTTTACCAAACCGAAAGCAGAGTTTACGGATGTTGAAAAATCCTCGTGGTTTTATAAATAATCTACCTGCACACGAGTAGACAAAATCATGAATCAGCCCATGAAAAAAAAGAAGCTCTTGAATATATGAAAAAGGCTGCAGACTTGCTAATGGGTGAGTTACTTATATTATAACTTATGACAAACCTAGTATATAGATAGATAGGCTAGGGCACTTTAGGCTAATAGTAGCAATGTCTAATATATCAGAGTCCCACATAATATAGTCATTTCTACATTAATCAATCATATCATGTCAAGACACCGATGAAAAATATTTCTTTGAAAACACCAGATCAATGAATTCAATTTTTCCGTTTAGTAAAAAAGTTCCAGAATCTACTAGGGCCTATTGCCTGAGGAAAGGTTTTTTTTAAATTTTTCAGGAATATCAGCCTCAAAATAGTAGGCCTACTGTTAGTCTTAGAATGTCTTTACTTTGATCAAAATATAATTTTTTGTAAGTTTACATTGAATAAAAACACAAATCGCCTCCCAGGGATTCCGACCCAAAAAATCCCAAAATTTTGGCTGAAAATCGTCCTCTGTATAAGAACAAATTTTGAAGTCTTTAATGTGTGCTCATGTTTTATTTTTATCAACTCAAAGACATTCTAATTCTCATAAAAATAATGGAAAAAATTCAAAAACCTTTTTACTTGATGGCCATGGATGGGATCTTAACTTTTGGTTGTGGAATGATGATTGATATTGTTGGTGTAAATACGCCACTGATCAGGATGTAACTCGCTCGATAATGTTATGCAGTTATGTGACTAACTTTTTGATTAACTTTTTACAGAATCTTAAGTGGTGAATCAGCCTCTACATCATATAGTAGGCCTAGGGTTTCATCATTTGCCCCAGTATCAAACGAACTACGAAGACTCTTTCAGCCATATTCAGGTACCGGTAATCGGGGTACAAGACAGACCTGTATTGGAAAAGGCAAAGTAAACTGGACACATAGATTTGTGTGTTTCGGTGAAAAGAATCCAGTAAGGATATTTCTCTTTTTAAAATTTCATTTAGGATCTGCTAATAATAATGTCTCTTGTAAATGAGTTAAAAAATTATACTTTAACCAACAGTTTATATATTTTATTACAGGCTTGTCATTATTACAATGTGGGTCTATTCCAGCCAAATTCTCTGAGCCCGGCATGGGGTCGTGAAAATACCTTTAGATTTTTCAACCCGGTTTCCACCTGTCAGTGATGTAGTTCAGAGGGGCAGACATGGAAAAATCATTTCAATGTGGGCGTATAAAAGGTTTTGTAAATTTGTTGTGAGTATCAGAGACACTGATGGCATCCCAATTTTCAGTCAGATGTGGTTCTTTCAATTCTTAATAATTCCTTTAATAACATGTAGCTGTAATAATGATTTGATTTCTTTTTCAACACATAGACGAGGAAGTCTGTCATTGGAGAGTGTTTTGAAGTTTGTCACTGGTTCGGGGGGAATACCTTTTCTGGGTTATCAGTTTAAACCAACAATTTGTTTTGTAGAAGTAGAATCAGATATTCCAACAAGCAGCACTTGCTAATGCAAGTTGTTCCTATCAGTAAATGAAAATAATTGTCCTAGAGAACGGGTTTTTGATTTCTTTGATTTGTTATTGTGGTCCAGAAGAGTTGATAAATTGTTTTTTCTTGTATTAAAGAGATTGTAAACATGTTTTTAAACATTTTATGTGTATTTGCACCATTCTAATTTTCGGTCAGATGTCTGTGGTACTTGCAATTACACTATTTAAAGCTAAGCATTTTACGAGATCATTATAGCAAAAGATTCCTATAATATCTAAGCGCCTTTGCCATAGTTATTTCATAAGACTCCTAGGTGGAATTACATAAACCAGACTTTTGACTGAAAATTAGATGCTCTCATTGTCCCTGATGCGCAAACAAAGTTTAGAAAACTTTTTTACAATTCCTTTAAAAAAGAATATGTTATGTAATTCAACATAACTTGTGGTTTAATTTGTTAATTTCCTAATCGTTTTTAGGACTGCATACGGGTACATAGTATAACCTATATATACTATAAACTGTCAACAATTGGTTCCTTAATGATATCCAAATTTCTTGGTGTTGCATCAGGTTCCATAGTGAAGTAGACGTTCTGTTATCTTCTTATTTATGATATATAACATTGTATTGTGTGAAACAATAGAATTTTTAAGATTATTGGTTTGTATTTTTATTGTAAATTACGTCCTAGATTCAAACAAGTGCAAGTGTTTTTATCAATTTGTTTGTATATATTATATGTGATATAACATTAGATGTATAGCTAATATTAAAAAGAAATTAAAATGTGACACCATGTAAAAATCAAATCACCAAAATATGTTGATGTAAGCTTGTTTTTGGCATTCTCGCCATCTGGAATTAAATTTTTTAACTGAGCACTCCCTACATTGTGCCTACAAAGCTTAGAATATGAAGACAATATTTATTAACATTAAAAATTGTCTTTGACAGGAAAATGTTTACTTAATTCCAAGCACATACTTTTCTCAAATTTTGAATTGTAAATACTGTATGTTAATGATATCTACTTTAAATAAAGCATATATTTCCATCATTTCATCAATTTTGATCAGTTCAAATTCTAACTGTCTGTAAAAACTGATCAATACCAAAATTTTGTATTTGTTTGTAATAAATTGCTTCAAATTCCGCTGATATTAATTCTGCATTTGGTGCGGGGATTATTTCTGGAACCACAACATGATCATATTCTGTTGCTACAGACCCATCATAATCAATCCCAAGTTGACATTTCATCCTGCAACACAAAAATACAAATTCCAGGAGTACAGGATTCCAATTGAGCAAGGTTACTATTTTAATTTGTGACAAAATATTAAATATGCAACTGCAAAGCATAGATATTTCCAAGGGAAAACAACTTTAGGAAAGTGGGGGGAAAATCAATATAGTCATTCAATCAATAATTACCTGATTTACAGATCATCCATCTGTCCTTCGATCCAAAGCTGTAATGGCGTTTTTTTGTGTGATGTTCTAATTGGTCTTCTCATAAGAGCAGATCTGAAATTATCCAGATATTGCTGAATTTGCTTTGAAATACAAAGTACAAAGCAAATATGTGGAGTTCATTATCTATATCCAGAATATTTTGATCTTCCATGGAACAGCTGATAATAGATAGATGTACCTCCACTCCATATTTCTCGCCACAATCTTTCAATCTTTTCAAGATTAGGTTCCTTTTAATTGTGCTAATAATCACATTAAGCAATTTGGCAATTTCTGACACACTAAAATCATATTCTAATAGCTCCTCCAAACATTCCTAAGAAATCAAGTAGCTTGGCCTGTCCACACTCCCTGTGTAAAAAAGTGGGGGTTGTTTTTTATTAACTATATGAGTATTTAGTAAATCCTCTTGAATGATAATCTTTTCTGGAAACAGTCCATTACATTATCCATATTTTCAATTTCTGATTTCAGACATTTGACTGATCATTTCCATGCACACATCGATATCTGATAAAATTCCTGGTTGCAGCTCATAATTTTCAAGTGTATGAATAACTTTAATAATTTTTTCTCGCAAGAGATTTTTCATTTGCTGTATGAGTGTGTGATCTGGATTTTCACACATGGTGATATAAATTATCACCTAAAATTGGTCCAAAAAAAAAACTCTACTTTCGGTTAGGCAAACAACACTTGGCTATAGTCTGTTTCTTATTTTGAAGCTGTCAGCAGCGCCACCTAACGTCATAATGGTGCTGTTAGAAAGTTGTAGACTTGTATTTGGCGAAATGTTTTTGAAGATTTGCTTCTGGGGATTTTTATTTGCAGATTTGTTGAGCTAGATTTATATGTTGAAATTTGTTACTACATAATTGTTAATAGAAATTTACTGTTATGTTATGTATTACAGAAAATGTGGTTAATATAGATATTGATTTTTCTAGACGTAGGGAAGTCTTAAACAAATAATTTCGATATTGGCGAACAAATGTTAAATTTTGTAAATAAATGTTCGGTTAAGCCTACAATTGAAGAAATAAGAATTTATAAATTCAAATTAGGCATTAGCAATTAGGAAATAAGAACATTGAATTTTGAACTGATTGGTCTTCCATAGAGCAAGAGCAAGTCAAGGGGTTATTTAATATATCCTGAGTATTTATGTTGCTCAGTGCTTCAAATTAAATATTCTATGCAATAGATTTACTATAAGAAATTGGAGGTGAATCATGTGAGAATTAGAATTAGTGACTGTGTAGTGGATAATAATTTAAAAAAAAATTCAATAAAGAAGAAAAATAAAATAATGTTTAATTTTACAAAAATAATTTTACAGAAACTTCTTAAATAATCATCATTTACAAAACTTGTAAAACAAATCGTTCAATAACACTGTTCAATGCATGTTCCATACATGTTCAATGAGTTATACTGTTATTATAACATGTTTATCGTATACAATACCTGTTCAGTGAGTTAATAACACTGTGTAATAAATACTGTTATTATAACATGTTTATTATATACAATACATGTTCAGTGAGTTAATAACACTGTGTAATAAAAACTGTTATTATAATATGTTTATTATATACAATACATGTTCAGTGAGTTAATAACACTGTATAATAAACACCGTTATTATAATATGTTTATCATATACAATACGTGTTCAGTGAGTTAATAACACTGTATAATAAATACTGTTATTATAACATGTTTATTATATACAATACATGTTCAGTGAGTTAATAACATTGTGTAATAAATACTGTTATTATAATATGTTTATCATATACAATACGTGTTCAGTGAGTTAATAACACTGTATAATAAATACTGTTATTATAACATGTTTATTATATACAATACATGTTCAGTGAGTTAATAACACTGTGTAATAAATACTGTTATTATAATATGTTTATCATATACAATACATGTTCAGTGAGTTAATAACACTGTGTAATAAATACTGTTATTATAACATGTTTATCATATACAATATATGTTCAGTGTGTTAATAACACTGTGTAATAAATACTGTTATTATAACATGTTTATTATATACAATATATGTTCAGTGTGTTAATAACATTGTGTAATAAATACTGTTATTATAACATGTTTATCATATACAATACATGTTCAGTGAGTTAATAACACTGTGTAATAAATACTGTTATTATAACATGTTTATTATATACAATACGTGTTCAGTGTGTTAATAACACTGTGTAATAAATACTGTTATTATAAAATGTTTATTATATACAATACATGTTCAGTGAGTTAATAACACTGTGTAATAAATACTGTTATTATAACATGTTTATTATATACAATACATGTTCAGTGAGTTAATAACACTGTGTAATAAATACTGTTATTATAACATGTTTATCATATACAATACCTATTCAGTGAGTTGATAACACTGTATAATAAATACTGTTATTATAATATGTTTATCATATACAATATGTGTTCAGTGAGTTAATAACACTGTGTAATAAATACTGTTATTATAACATGTTTGTTATATAAAATACATGTTCAGTGAGTTATTAACACTGTGTAATAAACACTGTTATTATAACATGTTTATCATATACAATACATGTTCAGTGAGTTAATAACACTGTATAATAAATACTGTTATTATAACATGTTTATCATATACAATACATGTTCAGTGAGTTAATAACACTGTGTAATAAATACTGTTATTATAACATGTTTATCATATACAATACATGTTCAGTGAGTTAATAACACTGTGTAATAAACACTGTTATTATAACATGTTTATCATATACAATACATGTTCAGTGAGTTGATAACACTGTGTAATAAATATTGTTATTATAACATGTTTATTATATACAATACATGTTCAGTGAGTTCATAACACTGTGTAATAAATACTGTTATTATAATATGTTTACTATATACAATACATGTTCAGTGAGTTAATAACACTGTGTAATAAATACTGTTATTATAATATGTTTACTATATACAATACATGTTCAGTGAGTTGATAACACTGTGTAATAAATATTGTTATTATAACATGTTTATTGTATACAATATATGTTCAGTGAGTTAATAACACTGTGTAATAAATACTGTTATTATAACATGTTTATTATATACACTACATGTTCAGTGAGTTAATAACACTGTGTAATAAATACTGTTATTTTAAGATGTTTATCTTATACAATACATGTTCAGTGGGTTAATAACACAGTGTAATAAATACTGTTATTATAACATGTTTATTATATACAATACGTGTTCAGTGAGTTAATAACCTTGTGTAATAAATACTGTTATTATAATATGTTTATCATATACAATACATGTTCAGTGAGTTAATAACACTGTATAATAAATACTGTTATTATAACATATTTATCATATACAATACATGTTCAGTGAGTTAATAACCTTGTGTAATAAATACTGTTATTTTAAGATGTTTATCTTATACAATACATGTTCAGTGGGTTAATAACACAGTGTAATAAATACTGTTATTATAATATGTTTATCATATACAATACGTGTTCAGTGAGTTAATAACCTTGTGTAATAAATACTGTTATTATAATATGTTTATCATATACAATACATGTTCAGTGAGTTAATAACACTGTGTAATAAATACTGTTATTATAACATGTTTATCATATACAATACATGTTCAGTGAGTTAATAACACTGTGTAATAAATACTGTTATTATAACATGTTTATCATATACAATACATGTTCAGTGAGTTAATAACACTGTGTAATAAATACTGTTATTATAACATGTTTATCTTATACAATACATGTTCAGTGAGTTAATAACACTGTGTAATAAATACTGTTATTATAACATGTTTATCATATACAATACGTGTTCAGTGAGTAAATAATGGATAACAATCACTTTTTTTCTTAAATACGACGTTTCGGCAAAATTCCACTGGAAGCAAAGCATAAATATATACAAACATGTAACGATAGGATGTAATGATAACTATGATGTATAATGGAATAGAATACCTAGTGTTAGTAGATAATTATGTTTTACTATCACTATCCTATAGTTGTGACATTGTGGCATCATTTGTAGATCGGTGGTCTAAATCTATAAAGCCCAGATGAATCAGCCCTTACAAATAACCCCCAATCATTTTTTTTAAAATAACAGATCAGTAAAATCAGTAAAAAAAATAAAAAAAAGGTCTACAATGTACAATATGAATGATATGAGAGATTATAAACAGTCATGACTATTCATGTTTTTTTTCTAGAACATAGTTCCTGTTTCACAAAATGTTATTTGGGATAATTTCAGTGTTCCAGTCATTTAATAGGTAAATTACTAAAATTGATTAGCCAATCGGATTCTTGAAATCTTAATTAGAGCAGAATGGAAACTATTAACCGAAGTAATTGATTTATCAAACCCGGATTTCGACTATAACACTCAATGATATTGGAATCTGAATCTAAAATTGCATAAGAATCTTAATCTGAATCTAAACCCAGATCTAGGCCTTAATCTGCATCTAAATATGAACCTAGATCTATGTAATCTGAATCTGAATCTGAATCAGAGTATTTTAGACCACATTTAGATATTTACAATTTTTATACACCAAATAATCATTCTCATAATCATCATTCTCCTTATTTAAATCATAGGAATCATAATCATCATTAAAAGACTCGAACTGATCAGGCAGTGAAAATCGTTTAGAATCTTTATCTTTAAATAGAATAAATCTAGTTAATGGTTTTCCAACCATAGAATTAAGTTCTGAAATTCTCTCATGAATTGTTAGACCTGTATTTTGTCTGATAAATCTTCTACATATTTCTTTAAGGCTTAAGTTGTTGGTGCAATGAATTAATTTTTCGCTCGGTTTTTCTCTTAAAGTTTCTGACAATGATGCTTTAGATTCCTCAACTTCAAAATGTAATACTTGTGTAATTTGTTCAATTGAGCCACCACTTAAATACAAGATTTGCCTTAATACATTCCTAGATTGTGAAGAAAATTCCTCCAGAGATAACTGACCATAGGAGATATCTCCATCATCTGAGGTTAAAAGTTGCAGGTTGACATATTTATTAACAAGAAATTTGATAAAATCGACTGTTTGATCAATTTGCCATAATGATTGGAATCGGAGTACATTTTGAACAATAGTGTTACCATCAAGGCATGGCTGATTAAAAGATTGTCTACAACCATGAGATAGAAGTAAATTAAAACATGTTAAATCATAAACATTGTTAGTTAAATCTATGTATTGTAGAGCAGATCGACCATGGTTGTCCACAATATTCAGATCGGCTTCATGTATTAATAGTTTTTCTAACAATTTTCTATCATTTGTCATACAAGCCAAAATTAAAACTGTTTTCCCTCCCTTATCTTGCACATTGACGTCTGCACCAAGATTGAGTAAAATATCAATACATGCAAGATATCTGGGATAGTATCCACGGGCGCGTAACTTTTCCTCTTCTGAGTTGACTCATATTTAATTTTTCTTTTATCAAAGTAAATCCGATGACACTAAGGTGAAGTGCTGTATGACCCTGATGGTTTTGCCTATTGACGTCACAGGTAAAGCAGCTAAAAATTGAATAAAGGGTAAATTATTTAAAAGTGAGGCCACCATTAATGGTGAATTACCATCATTATTTATAAGATCTAATTCATAATCAAACAAAAAACTAAAATCTATATATAAATAATCCATATAAAACTGAGCTAATAGATGGACTATATTTTCACTTGATGATGTTAAAGAATTGATATAGAGACCATTCTGAATAAAAAACCATAGAGATTGAAAATCATTTTTCCTCAGAATATATTCAAATAATTGAAGGTGATTATCAACATGATCAGTTAAAACATCAACATTATGTTGGATTAAAACATGAAACAATTCCACATTCTGACGTTGTGCTATTTTATAAAGAGTTCGTAGGCCAGACTTAGTGGAGAACTGTGAATGCCCCTCCTGATTTTTTATATTGGTATCACTGCTTTCAATTAAACATCTTACAATGTCTATTTTACTGCTGCTGACAGCTGCATGTAATGGTGTTTTACCGTGCCTGTTCTGTATATTAACATCACAGGTACTACAATGTATCAAACACTTTACAATGTCTATATTACCCCAGTCTACAGCTATATGTAACGGTATTCTAACTTCAATATCCTGTAAGTTAACCTTACAGGTACTACACTTTATCAAACACTTTACAATATCTACATAACCCTCCTTTACCGCTATATGTAATGGTGTATCTCGGTGAATGTCCTGTAAGTTGATATTACAGGTATCATACTCTATCAAACACTTTACAATGTCTACATTACCATCCCTTGTCGCTAAATGTAACGCTGTATAACCTCTATGGTCCTGTAAGTTAATATCACATACACCACTCTGTATCAAATTATTTACAGTCAAGAGATTATTAATCTTTACGGCAATAAATAAAGATGTTCTGGTTGACATTTTTAAATCAATCTGTAATAAATAAAACAGTAATTATTTAATCATGTAATTATAAGATCTTGTCTCAAACTAACTCAAATATTGGTATTTAACCATTCTGGCATTGGATTTGTCCACTCAGATCCCCTGCAAGAGCGTCCACATAGCTAATGATATCTACTTTGTTTATTTGTTACATTCCACATATTCTATGAACGAGGGAGTTGCACCCGTTTTAATACCACCTTTAAAAACAATCTCTCTCTTTAGCGAATATTATCATTAATTTTTCTGCAGCCATTGTAAAATCATTCTCGATTCTTCTGTTAACGCCAATAGAGAGTTTAATCCTTGTTTTAAGAACTTGCTTATTATAACTTTCTACATAACATACAGTTAAAAACCTTGGTAGGGTTGAAACATCAGAATTTTGTTGATTGAGTGATCATCGGATAGATAGCTCGTGTTTTTCGAAATTACATCTTCTTCTAAATGTCCTAATTATAATATACATCTTCCTCGTGAATTTAGACTTCTGACAAAGTTTTAACAAAAACAAACATACCGGCTGACCAAACTCGTTAGCGAAACATATTGCTTCGTGTATCACAAGTCGACAGTTATACAGATTAACAGGACGTCCCGACTTCTGCAAAACATCTTCTAATGTAGGATGAATAACGGCAAAACAAAATTAAGGTTGAATTGTACCTAGAAACCATAATTCAGTCAGATGTCATAGGTTGAATGTTGATGTTTCAAGGACAATAAGTAACATCTATTCTAGAACCACAATGATGGGACAGTATAAAAACTAATATAAATCTAATTACCTGGATAGACAAATCAGCCAGACTCTTACCCTCTTAAAGCTTGCCAACTCTTCCACTGGTAGCAGTTTTTCATCACGTATATTTTTAATAAGATTGGTTAGGTTCAAACCCTGCAGATAATGTCTATTCTTTAAAATTACTGTAGCAGCCATTCTCTGAAATAGATAAGTACATTTAGTTGATTTAAGTATTAGTGTTTATACGACTGTATCTCATGTGAAATACAAGTTAGTTGAGTAAAAACTCTCCTCCAAAATATTTACAAAAATACTTGCAACTTCGTAAATATTGAAGTGCATCTCGACATGTCGGTCGGTGCAGCTTGGCTAGTCAAGAAAGGAGAGAAATGACCTGCCCAGAATCCACCGGGACTATGACAATATCAGGGAGTATAGATTGAAACTATTTGCAGAAATCTCATTTAGAAATTTCCAATATGTCAAGCCGGGTAAATTCTTAGAATCTGGTTAGAAATGTAAAATATGATGACCATAAAAATTTTGAGTTCTACCTGCACAGGAAGTGACTATTTCCAAACCTTATCTTTCGTATCTAAATCTATTTCTAGAAATCATATTATCAAACATCCCAATCTTGGCAGCTTTAATCTTAATTAAATATATTTGTCAGTACAGTAACAATCACCAGTATGAAATATTCAACCTTCAGTCATACACTTGAACTTTTTGAGGTGATACTGAATAATATTACCAAGTTTCGCCTTTTAGTGTTTACTAGATAAAAATTTAATGTGTAATATTAAGTCTTAGAGTCGTGTTTTTTTTTATGTTTTGAGATATAAAATCAGAATAACAGGACATCACTCGAAAATTACAAATTTCTGAATAAAATCAGACCTCTTGGAATGTTTGTCGAGTCACTTTCCTTTTCAGTCGACATTTTATTAACAACTCTCTGGTTTAAAGTCTATGTTATGCCATTTTCGGGTGTCAATCATACCTTGGTCTGAGAAACGGGAATTATTCAGCTACGCCAATCGGCTTCACAGCTTCCAGTCAAACATCGTCTACGCACAGCTTCGACTAAAGATGTTTGGGTGTCAGAGACTGTATCAACTTTCGGATACCCCAAACTTCATAATAATGGTTAGCTTGTGAACGAAATAAAAAAGAAATTGCTAGTTAGAGGTATATGTGAAGGAATTGCGAGAGTTTTGTACAGGTATAGTATATCTGAAGACTATTTACATAATTCAAGGCCCAAATCAACACCCGAAAATGGCGAACCTTAAGTAGGCTACTTATATATAATTAAAACTAAAAATTCATAAAAAATAAATTCAATTTACATGATAGAGAATATAACAGGTTCACATTCTAGGCAATATAGCTGCTGGACATTACAGTGTAAAAATCACAAGAAATATTTTAGTGTAAGTCAACTTCGAAATTTTAGTTGAAAATTGCCTTCTACGGCAGGAAAATTCGACAAACCAACAAACTTGTTAAGACACCAAACAATATACAGACTAGAGAGGAATTCCTCAATATATCAAACACAAAGTTGTAACGAAGTTACTGTAGTGACTATAATATACGTTCATTTTATGCTGTGTACACACTATTATTCAAAATGTTATACCATGAGAGCCCAGCGAAAATAAATGGTTTGTATTAAAATTATATTAAACTAATGGACGGACAGACATTCAGGGGTCAGGGGTGATTATAATATATGATATACAATCATATTATTCATTTATATCAAAACATATTAGTAATCAATATGTACAAGACCTGACAACTATTGTTCAACATGTTAATAGTTTAATATGATTTTAATATGATCTAAAGTTCTGTATTACTATTTATAACCAACCAATTCTTATAGTTGTGTCTTGTTGTTATCGTGATAGGTGACATTTCTTTACAGATGAATTTAATTCCTGTTTAATGAAGGTATTATAAGTTCTTTTGAAAAGTTTTAATTGTAATCTAACCCTGAAAATTTAGAGGGCGTGAGAGACACCAATATTCGCCTTATCTCTATTATAAATTATAATCTAATTTAAACACTATGTAAGTCCGAGTCTACAATGGCTATTCAATCTGATTGGTTGTAAATCTGTTTGAAAGATATTCAGTGATTATGAAAATGAATTTCTGAAACTATTGGCTATCCCAAGTCACTAACCACTGTACCAATGGCATCTTCCCTGAGCTCCCAGATTTAACGTCTAATGGAGGGTTGCAAACTTTAAAATTTTAAGGTACATCTTTCTGGCCAGTTTTGCTAAACTTAACGACAGCCCTCTTGTACGTTCGCCGAGAGGATGAAAATTTGATTGGTTAACGCAGACGTCATAGATTTAGCTAAAAGATAACGAAAGAGGAACGAACGTTTGATTTTGATTTAAAAAGAATGCCAAAATTCGTAAATTGATCGTTCGTAATAGCTTTAAATTGTGATGATGTGTTGCAAAAATGTGGTAATTACAATCAAGGTATTAGACGCGGTTCGTAATATATCCGTATATCCGTGAGACAGAAACGACAATCCGTTGTAGTATTCACGTCTTACCTTCGACATGTGAGCCTTCTTAGCCATGCGTATCCATAATTATCCGCGTTTGAAAGTTAAAAAAACGACTACTGTTTTCCAAGAGTTTCCATTTTGTATAACATCTGATAAATGACGTCACATGTATACTGTAGATTCAATCTTCCTGCCCTCCTTCGTCTACTCACATCTGTAACGGGAGATGTCTTGGTGTCAGGGACTATATCAACAAGACGTTCAACTTTCGGATACCCCAATTTTCGGAGAGAAGATAAGCTTGTGAACGAAATAAATAAAAAAGGGATATCTTGTTTGAAGTCTATTTGAAGGACTTAAAGTTCTTTTTTCTTCTGACTGTTCAGACTACAAGACAATAGAAAATAGTAAAAGAAATTCCAGGGGCTAATGGAATCTACAGTATTATTGATGAATTGGTTATAATTTAGCAAGAGCGGATATCAAACAATTTTAAATTTCAATACATACTAGAAATCTTGTATTGATTGTTCAACATTGTTCTTGAATATTAGACTGAATTAAACGAGACAAAGGTCTTCGGGTTCAAACCTTTCACAATGTTATTTTATATAGAATCTTAATATGCATATATTTCTGTCAAACCTATTCAACTTTTACTTTCCTATCTTGTGGCAAAGAGGTTTTCAAGATTAATGAAACGTTTACCTTGATTGAACACTCACACAATATAGAAATATATTTATGATCGTCATTGTAGTACATTGTAGAAGTTAGTTTAAAAAATATATATTAAAATCGTTAACGCTTTTGTTCTTATATCGACAAAAGAAGATCTTCAGAGATAATTCATCATTCTAGTCAATGGGTAGTTGTAACCAACGTTTCTTTCTATGATCTAAACTACAATATATTAAATTGTTAGAAATCTTACAAATACTCACAGATCTTAGAATTCTGATAATTGTAAGCAACGTTTCGTTCAGTGATTCTTTATAAACTAACAGACTTTCGAAAAGAACTTTAGAAATGAACTTAGGAAACTGTCACTTTTAAACAGTGTTTCGTTCTGTGATCTTAATGATACTCGATTAGCTTAGAGCCTGTAGTAAGCTCAGAAATTTAGCTTAGAAACTATATTCTTTATTACACTATGCGGATTCAGCATTGGAAATTAGCATAAAACTTACAACTGTGCGTAACGTTTTTTAATATTTGTTACACGGATACGTTCCGGAAAGAAGTTTATGGAAAGGAGATTAGAAAAGGAGATTAGAAAAGGAGATTAGAAAAGGAGATTAGAAAAGGAGCTATATCTTCAAGAATTCGTGAGTTGAAACAACAGAATGTATTTTAGAAAGTATACCAGCTTTATGACATGATGCTGGTCTTCACATTGGATGTTCTTTGTATATATCCCATATTGGGATACATCATTATACTAGTTTGAACTATTGGATATCAATTTCATTTTAAAACTGTAGTTCTTCACTATTTGAAATATACAACATCGATAATTCCTTGCTCTGGAATATTGAATTTTAGCGACGCTCGATTACAAGAATTGTCATTTTAGCCCTACGTGCCGCGATTATATTGAATTTGGAATATTGAATTTTAGCGACGCTCGATTACAAGAAGTGTCATATTGTTATATTGAATTTGGAATATTGAATCTTGGCGACGGACCGCTTGTAGTTTACTGCAAAGATCACCCGGGGTGTCCTCAGCCTTGTTTCTTATCAAGACTAAGACTATTGTAAACTTAGTGTCAGTTACGATCTGCTTCTGTCGCTATATTGAACTGTTTGTGGACAATAAATAACATAATGAAAATTTGGAACATTCTAGTTACAATAATCTTTCTAGTATACTACACATATTGGACCAACGGTGTCATCTTAACATACAACGAGAAAACAACATTCACCCATTACGAGAGCGTGGAGCTACAAAACTCCAAAGCGTTTTTGGTAAAAGGTCCAAAAGATGGTATTTTAGGATTGTTTGAAACGAGTGATTCTCCTGAACCGCTGTACGAGTTTCTAATTGGTGGTGGAAACAATGAGTATACAGGTATTAGAAATAAGACCAAAGGTTACATGCGGAGATTATCAAGAAAGGAAGATATGTTATTGGATAACACCAGATTTAAACCTTTCTGGCTGAGTTGGGATGACAACTCTGTTCAGATCGGATCCGGATTTACTGTTGATTCGGGTATAAAACTGTCGTTATCTAGACAACACACCATTCCACTCAATTTTCTAGCTCTAAGACCGAGTTTTGGGCTACCTATATCGTTTATAATGGAACTGGAATGTTCCAAAATTCCTATAACAGAATTATAAACCTTTATCTGAGATTGTCGCGAATGTTCTTTGTTTCGGTTTTAAAATTTATTATTTTTAACTTTGGAACCAGACATTCTTGAAAAGACTTACAAAATAGGACACTCGTTATTATCTTTTACCCCTGAATCTATTTTTATTTTCTCGAAGTTTAAACGTTTAGCTCTAAGGCCGGATTTTGGTCTAACTATATCGTTCATAACGGAACTAGAATGTTCCAAAACTCCTTAAAATTGATCTAGTATCTGAGATACTGATACTGTATCTGATAGTGTGTTTCAATTAAAGTATGAATAAGTGCATATTTTATAGCTTGTTTGCTATTTGAAACTGGTTATTATTGATCCCAATCGAAAATATAAAACAGGGAAGAATTCTTTCAGCTTCAATAAAACTGGAATTATAACGACGCCCTGTAATCATTGTAACATAAATTGTATTTTTTACATTGATATTTTTAAGAAAGAATTCAGATTAGAATTAGGATAAGGATTGAATTTCTGTGAAGTTAATCAATCAAAATCCTTGCATCAGTTACCTGTGTTTCTTACAATTTGGTGACGATAATTGGGCCTTTTCAACTAAGATATAATCTAGAATTAGGACGAGATTAGAAACAAAGTAATCGAATTGAATAGCTGAATTAAAAATCGATTTTGATTATTAACTCCACTTGGTGCCACTTTCCATTATAAAATGCTTGTTTTTCTTATCATAATGATTATTTATATGATTAGTAACGTCCCTTCAAATGTCGATATTATGGACTCTCTCCACCTATTCATTTGCCATCTCTTCCCAAGTTAAAACACGAAATTCAACCTTCTACAACCCTTTCCAGAAATCTCGTTGAAAGCTTTCCAATATGTCGAATGAAAGCCTGACCAATTCTCAATGTCTCCTAAAAAATTCATTATATGATGACCATGGAAATTTTGAGCTACTAAAATTGAAAGTTGACTACTACCGGTTATACTCATCCGCTAGAGTTTAGCAGTTCACAAAACGCCTATTTTTAGAATTAGCCTTCTGCCTTTAGGTCTCTCATCATCTCACTAAATCTTAAAGATAATCCAATTTCAGACATCAAATTCCAAATCTAGACCAAAAATTACTCAGAAGAAGCTTGCAAAAACCTCAAGAGGGAGAGAAAGAAGATTTCTAAAAATAGCCTGGACAACATACAATCATTTGCATAAAGTGTTTTAGTGAAGAGAGTCCACATTTGATAAACGATTTTTTTTTGTTACCTCCCTTGAAATTTTAAATTAATTCAGTCAACTGGTCAAGTCACTTGTTTGTCGTGTTTGTTGTGTTTGTTGTGTTTGTCGTGTTTGTTGTGTTTGTCGTGTTTGTTGTGTTTGTCGTGTTTGTTGTGTATGTTTAGCAGCAATGCCAGGTGTGACCCCAGGCAGGGTATAATTACTCTTCAAAACACCTGATACCACTTTTCATTATGACGTATTTATTTCTTATTTAATTTCTCCACCCCGACATACCCATCCACACTCAGACCAAATGTAAAGTGGATATACCATCGTAATCCATATTACTTGTATTTCCACCGCTAGTATATATATATATATACCTTTAATCAATAGGATAGAGAAGTATTTAAAGAATTTAATAAAGGTATATGAAAGCAATCTTCATCGTGTATCCAAATCACTCTAAATATATTAGTTATATATTCTGTAAATTATATAATATATAATCCAGTGGCGAAGCCGGGATTTCATTGACTGGGGGTGGGGGAGGGGCGCATCCGAGCACCTTTGTAGATTTTATAGGGTACAAGTTGCGGCGGGGTGATGAAGGAGGCTCCCCTGGAAAATTTTCTGATCTGGGTTGGGGGTAAATGCATTTAACGCGACTTAAGTTTTCTCTTCACGTCATAGCATTTGGTGTCTACTCTTAAACCATAGAATTCTAAATATTTAATGTAAATCGCAGTATCCAATGGTCGAACTGCGCCTGTGTGTCAATATTGCTCGAGGGACTTGGCGTAGTGATACCACGAGTGTACGTAGTTCACGAGTAATATCACTACGCTGAGCCCCGAATTATGATTCAAGCAATTTCTGACTCAAACAGAAGCTTAAATAAAGAAAAAAGACATGTACTTACAGAAGTTTTATTGATGCACAGTAAAAAAAATAAACAGTGAGATGCAAAGAAAGGTTGTAATTTGGTCAATCACCTTAATGAAGACAATTATACGCGGAGCTTAAAAAATGACGGTTAGAATTGATAAGCTTTTGTTTCTGAAAGTAGAAATGAAATAAAGCACGTTCACTTGTCGCTAAATTTGAAGCTAAATACTCAGTTGTTACATCTGTTACATGCTGAGAGAGCTAGATTTCGGGTATTCGTGTCACGATTCAAGAACCTGACACAAGATATCTCATTTGAAAAGTGTTACAGATATCTAAGTAAGATTATTTGATACAAATTGGTCCCTTTTTATCATAAAATAAAAAGAAAATACAGAAAGCTAAGTAAGATCAGACAATACGAAATTCGTTTTCATTGATATAATACAAAAAGAAAATAAAACCAAAAAGAGAACATGAGATTAGCCGTCTCCATTACAAAAATATAATAAAATCTAGGATAGAGTCGAATTTTGTGAAAACAATTAAGTAATTAGATACATCTAAAGTACACTATGTAATAATATAGCATCAATTTGCACTATTTCAATTTTCGGTGGTTGTTGCAATTACACTAACACAGGTGTAAAATGAAGTCACTATCGCAAAGGTCATATCAATAGCAACTATGTAATACTACGTTAATAATTGATAGCACTTTCTATTAGTATTAGCTTAAGTAATTATATTATTAGCTCTGAAACATACAGAAAGTTTAAGGCACTATAATTGGTCGTCTGCTGTCAGCAACATCATAACTTATAGACAGTTGAAAATATGAAATACTGAGAATTTCATTGGTTGATACGGTAGTCTAGATTTAAATATTAAAGGGATTGTAAAGAGGTTTTCTAATTCTTTATGTGTATCGGGGACACTCAAAGCATCAATGTGCGCTATTCCAATTTGGGGATTAGTTTTAATGGAATTCCAAGAACCACAGACGGCTGATTGCAAATCGGAATTGATGCCTTTAGCATACAAATTGAAGATAATCTCGTTATAATCCCTTTATCCCATCAAATTGCGTCTTGTAGTCTTTGTAAAGTATTATCGTAAACTGAAAGAAAGCTTAGCAGTCTAGCAAAAAACCAATCAGATTTCTCCTATAAATCTAAATTTGTTCATAGTAAAGTATGATATTTCTGACAACATTCCCTGTGCTGTAAACAATGGCGTGTTACAAGATTGGTCTATTTTCCGTACTCATAATTGTAGTTGTTTGTTCTGACGTAGAAAACTCCAGTAGAGTACAACACTATCATCAGAATAGAAATACCCAATCCCAGGACCAACCCAACAATATTTAGGATTCGGGCAGTGTTCGCCTCCTTTCTGGCTTGTTCAAAATGTAGATTATCTGATGATGATCTCGCCTGCAATGAAAATATATTAATTGGAATGATTACCACCTCAGAGTTATTAGTATACAGGGCCACAAACCTTTTCAGGTTCAAAACTGATTGTATGCCGAAACTGAGAGATGCCGAAAGGATCGAATCTCCCTGAGGCAAGGGGTCTTGGGACTGTCAAAGGCCATAGAAATCAACGGATTTCAGTTGGCCTGTTATGAATGTCCAGTAAATCAATGGATTTTTTGCACATTATGTCTTGAGGTTTGCCAGAGAATGTCAAGGTATTACGAACTTCGTCTTATACCCTGATTGCAATTGCCACTATTCTTGTATCGCGAATGCAGCTAGTTGATTGAATTGTACGATAGCGAATACAGCTAATCATAGCCCGTCTGGGGTATGAAGTATTCCAAAGGAGAGAAGTGTTTTAGACTTGCTATTGAGGCTTATATCTTATAGGTTGAAGAATGACCTCGCAGACAGTCCTGTCCACCAACAGAGTCATCGGACTATTTTTACCAAATAAACAACATAAATATCCTCATTTATAACAATAATAAACATTACTTACGTTACACGAGAAAACAATAGCTGCAATACCAATAGGTAAACAACAGCATAGCAAGGTGAAAATAGACCATCCCAAATAATCATTTGGTCTTGGGTTCACTATAACAGTCGCCATTTGAGGCTGGGTCATCTGCAAAATAATATAATGGACATTTACCTCCCACTGTCCTGTAAGTTTTTGGGCTTGTTACGTTTTCAAAAGTTCGCTTTCTTAAGTTTAACTTAAAAAAAATTTGCAGAAAATTTGGCTAAAAGTCAAATTAATTGTAATTGGCTGGAAAACAATTGTTTAGATAAGACCCAGTGATTAATCAGATTTACTCCGATGTGACAAGTTTCTAAAAGTCGTAAAGAAAGATATTAAATTGCCTTAAAATTAGTCGACTTTGACAGGATAGAAGAAAATAATACTCACAACGACGTTCACATTGTTTGTGTTGTTAGGTGGTGGGTAGTACCCCGGTGGCCCAGGAGGGTACTGTCCCATTGGGTATTGTCTACTGGGGTTATGTCCGTGCTGCTGATTACCATAAGGTGAAGGGGTGTAAGCGGGAGGGTCTGATGGTTGATCATAGCCAGCATTTACAGGATCAACCTTTCTCTTGTCAGCTGACTGGTCGTAATTGTAATTCTCACCTGAAATATCAGTATAAAGTGGTAGTAGGTGTTTATTTACAGGGTATATATTGATAGTGAAATATCAGTATAAAGTGGCAGTAGGTGTTGATTTACAGGGTATATTTTGATAGTGAAATATCAGTATAAAGTGGTAGTAGGTGTTGATTTACAGGGTATATTTTGATGGTGAAATATCAGTATAAAGTGGCAGTAGGTGTTGATTTACAGGGTATATTTTGATAGTGAAATATCAGTATAAAGTGACAGTAGGTGTTAATTTACAGGGTATATTTTGATGGTGAAATATCAGTATAAAGTTGCAGTAGGTGTTGATTTACAGGGTATATTTTGATGGTGAAATATCAGTATAAAGTGGCAGTAGGTTTTGATTTACAGGGTATATTTTGATAGTGAAATATCAGTATAAAGTGGTAGTAGGTGTTGATTTACAGGGTATAGTTTGATGGTGAAATATCAGTATAAAGTGGTAGTAGGTGTTGATTT